CGGGCGATAGCTAGTAATGTATAGATTTATTTTTTGATGTATTTTATTTACAAAATCTTACGTAATATCGTGTAATAGTTTTTTATGTTTAGCTTTATAAAACTTATTTGCGAAGTCATTGTCGACAAAATAGTATTGCATCATATCGATTAAGTAATTCATCCGATTGCAACTCTGTCCGCGCTTTATTGTAACTTCCATATATTATTTGACAGTATCAAGTAGTTTAAATCAAACTACAACGCTAATATACTCTGATGTTAATCTTACTTCTTAATATTATTATGAATGCGAATGTTTATATGTATGGTCAGACTAGCTGTCGGCCGCGAATCCGTCCATGCGGAAAAAAAACTTCATTATTAGTCTATGTGTTCTTCCAAACTATGATCTACATCCAATTTTCATCGAGATCTGTTCAGACGTTCTGGAGATACCTTCCAAGAAACATCCATCCATCCATCTAATCTAAACATTCGCATTTATAATATTAGTAAGATAGTTGTTTGTTTGAACGTATCTACAAAACAGCTGTATGGATTTCGCTGAATTTTCAATTTTGGCGTAGATGTAGAATAGTCTGGAAGAACACTTAGACTAATAATTTAGTTTCTTTCAACCCGCGCGTATTTTTAACATTAACAAAAAGTTATTATTGAAATCGGAATATCGTATACAACTTTCTGAAGTTTTGTATATGTATACATTTATGCAGCTGACTGTACACAATAACCGTTGCGTCAGTGAAAGTAAGAACAAATGTAAACAGTAAACCTCTTCGTATTGCAATTGTGGTACATACAGAAGCGACTTCTGGTATACATTGCGTTGATTACTTCCCTGTAATGATGACATCATGGTAATAATTAATTTTATAACATTATCTCACTTTATTACTTGTACGATGAATTGCCTCTGTATTTGATCGTAACTCAGTAGTTTTATTGAGGAACTGTTTGATAGAGGATTCTGTAGAAATCTAGAATTATAAGAAAGACTTTTCCTTAGTCTTTGTAATTAAGTAACTTTTCACAAGACGGTAGATGACAGTTGGATATTAACTGACGATACTCAAAGATATATTTGATTTTGCCTTTTTTTCTAGAAAATGCATTCCAAACTTTGCTAAAACATTGCTCTCTTGTCAGTCTGTTGTAAAATTATATGTTTATGCTTAGAGAAATATTCTGTAAAAAAACCTTTATTTTCTTAATTTAAATGCAGTTTATATTAACAATATATCAGTCAAAACAGAAGTGAATAAAAAGTCTGTAACTTAAAAATAAACTGACAAGCACGCGATTATCTTGTCTGTACATTGCATTTGTGTATTCGACTGTACTTTGAATAGTTAAAGAATTTAATTCGCTTCCCACATAGGATCGTATACCATACAGCAAACTAACATAAGACGTATAATATAGTACTTATGTTGCTATGACAAGTCTACGATCTAATTAAATTGTGGCCGTCAAAGACCTTACCGTATGGGTAGGAAATAAATATCCTCGTCTATAAATGTGTACAGTCGCGTCGACAAGTGGGATTTACTTCTATTACGTGACAATTTCTTCGACCATTCTGCAGCGGCCGGTTATGTTTAGAAACTATTTGATAACGAATAAGATCACTATCTTTGCGTAGGCGTGTTTTATTGCAACTTTGAGAGATATAGATCAATTTCCTGATTCGTTAATCATCACTAAGGGAAGACCCTAAGTATAAATCCGTACTACGTCACAACTTGACTTAACTTAATGTCTTATGTCCCCGTAGTGGGGCAGATGGCGTCCACAATACGTCGCCAGCTCGCTCTATGTTGGGACCTTCGTTTGGTATTTGGCCATGTCAGGTCGATTGTAGAAATATACTACTCATTAAGGGATATTTAATAACTTCTTAGTGTAACAGTAAATCTATACATTGTTACTCTTAGGGACCAAATAAAGACTCGTAAGGCTGTATCAATTAGTATATTTGTTCCACATTATTCGGAAGAGTGAGCTTATCACCACCTCAAAGGCCGGCAACGCATCTGCGATTCCTCTAGTATTGCTGATGTCCATGGGCGTTGTTGAACACCTCGGTGTTCCTGCTGCTCGTTTGCCACCTTCTGTTATAAAAAAAAGATCATTAGTACTCTCTTGTCACATTATAAAACTGTTCGCAATCAGTATAAAGCATGGTTACCTACTTCCGCGATGCAACTGCCCAGGAAATAACACGCTGGTCAAGTCGTTTGTTAGGCTTAACAATTCCTTTATTCTATTCACATAGAGTACTTCACGTTATGAATTGACCATAGTGACTTTGGACTTAAGCCTTAGTAAATATAACAATAAACACAAACACAACTGTCTTAATCTTTACACAAAACATTTGATAAAATTCAAAATTATTCAATCCAATTTGACATTTATAATGAGTCGAGGAAAAAAAATTCTTTTTTTTCGAATATTTGCTTTTAAAAAAAAAGAAAGGTAGCAGTGTAAATCTTACATTAAAACCTACTTTCCTATAAAATTTTATTTATTAAAGTCAATACAAAGTTATTGAAGAATCACAGAAATGAAAGTGGGTTTTGTATTTGAAAAATATTGCGTAGAATGTTTTATTGCTGTAGTGTATGTGGTCTTACCATACGAAACGAGTCGGTCCTAAATACACGGTGTTACGCAAGTCATGAGGTCAGTTTATAATATAACGATGACTGCGCAAATGTGCTAGATATTGTTCTCGAGTGAGGATGCATTTTCCGGTTATGTAAGTTGTATATTGAAAGGTTTTTTTAACTTTATGGTTATGTTTAATAACTTTGTTGATGGTAAATGTGTTTGTATTTGTCATGGTCTTGAGCTAATCAATTTTACACGCTTTTGTTTCTCATTTTCTATTTCTTTTGTTTTAATATCGCAACAAATAACTTAGAATCATCTTTAACCTTTTCGGGAACTTTTAAAGATAAATATTTATTCAAAAAGTACAGTACAGCAACTTTATAAGGCGCAAGTGCGGCCCCATATGAAGTACTGCTCGCACCTCTGGGCAGGAGCACCCCAGTACCGGCTTCTTCCATTTGACCGCATACAACGGAGAGCGACTCGAATCGTCAACGACCGAGGTCTTACGGATCGGCTTGATTCCCTGGCCTTGCGGAGGGACGTTAGTTCCCTCTGCATTTTTTACCGCATTTACCATGGGGAGTGTTCCGAAGAACTGTTTGGAACGACGACACGACAAACCGCCAGGTTCCATCCACACCACCTGGGTGGCTGGCGTTCCACAACGGTGCGATTCTCGCGCAATTTCTTGCTTCGCACAGTCGCGTTGTGTAACTCGTTTTAATCTTGATGTCCAAAAGAAGACAGGGTATAGATATGTATTTGAATTAATAAGTATTTTAATACAAGTACAGTCAGCTGTATGTATAAATTTATAATGTATGTATGTATAAATTTATAAAGCTTCAGAAGCTTGTACACGCTTTTGTTGTCAAAAATATGAATCGATCGAAGGTGTGCATAAGTGTCTTAAGTTTTGTAAATGTGTCTGTAAATATTTATGCAGCTGACTGTACAGTGCGTCGGTGGCTCAGGAGTCAAGCACTTGACTTGCAATCTGCAGGTCCTGGCTTCGAATCCCGCTATGTACCAATGTGTTTTTCGATTTCTGATTTACATTTGTACATTTATCCGACGTTCTTACGGTGAAGGAAAACATCGTGATGCAACCTGCACATATCTTAGAAAGAAATTCAATGATATGTGTGAAGTCAACCAACCCGCACTTGGCCAGCGTGGTTGAATATGGCCTAGTCACCCGTGACTTTGGGTAGGCCCGAGCCTCAGTGGGAACGTATAGTGAGCTGATGATGACTGTACAATTAATACAGTAGGGCTCTGTATGTTTGTTGCACTTTAAAACTAATTGTTTATCTAACAGATTTACTTAAATACAATAGTTGGATTACGTAAATCATGCTACTGATTATCCTGGCAGTAAAATGAAAACAACTTCCCAGTGCATTTCCTCTCACTTTCCACATTTACGTGTTTCGCTTGTTAAAATGTTTGCCTTTGATGTCATAAATGCACTGATTCCGTGCCAACTTTACTTAACTATGGAAAGGCCATGTTTCTAGAATTGTATGATATATTAGCGTCAAATGTCTAGTTTCTTTTTCTTGCTAACAGAGGGTCTATATCGAATGTTTATAACAATCGACATCGTATCGTCATCGAAAAAAATTGTATTAAAATTTGTGCAGCCTATCGTCTTATCGGGCGTGTACACCAAAAATCTTATAGTAATTTTGACATAATTGACGATAACTAGGATAATATGTGCTCGGCCAACAGAAGGGGATATGTAGTTTGTGTGTATGTCAATTTCATTGTGTGATTTTGAAGCCGAAATAGTTGAGTCGATGTTGGCTAAGTTAGGTGTCATTCGCTTCGTATTATACGATGGTTTATAGGGGTAAAGTTGGGCATGTTAATTTTCAAAACCAGATAGTGATATATATTTCTTTGTATTTTCTATTTTCTTATTAGTAATTAAAAATGCTTTCGAGTCGTGGCGAAGTTTATGATTTGATTGCATTTTACATTACCTTTAGACCAACACGATAGATGGCGCTGATTTTAAAAACGATTTTAATTAAAATACGAGGTATGTTTCCAATAAAATTCGAATTAAAAATATAGATATATTTTCATCACATAAAATAAATTATACTATTTACACTGTATATGCAAAGTTATTATTTACATATATATACATTTTGTAACAAAAAAATATGTACTTTTTTTTACAAACATCGTAAGAAGCATTAAATTTTTTTTTTAAAAGAAACAACTTAGAAAAAGTTGTTTCTTTAGTAAACTTATAGCAAAAAATTAAAAACCCATCTACAATAACTTACAAGGTTTATTAAATTTCTTTAGTCTTATTACACATATAAAAAATATTGTCAAAGAGACTAGAATATGCAACAATGATTGAATCTATTAGATGTCAATTATATCCTATTTTATTTTCAGTAAACAGTTACTTTTGGTTTTTAGCATTTTGCACAAAACTATGGCATTTTATCTAATTTCAAATACTGTACTATCATCTATTTGTACTACACGATGTATTCTTATTTAAAAATAATTTCTTTACTTCAGAAAATTTAGACGACTTTGCATTCCTTTTACGTCTTTTCGGTAACCATGTTTCTTTGATCATATCACTGCCTTTTTCTGCGATCATAATTACAGGAGCGTTTATATTTCCATTAGTAATTGTTGGCATAATACTAGCATCAATCACTCTTAATCCTTTAACACCGTAAACTTGTAATGTGGGATCTACCACAGCCATAGGATCAGTCGATGGACCCATTTTAGCTGTACACGATAAATGATAAATAGTCATCGTGTACTGTCTTATCATACAATCCCAGTATTCGTCAGTATACAATGGTAAATGTTTGCAATTCGGTACCGGCTTATTGTTGAACCTAGCTCCGAGACGTTTCATAGCTTTGGTCTCACCAACCGCCACTGCCGCTTTAACACCTTCTCTTAAAACTCCAACGTCATCAGGATGTGTCAAATAATTGTGATACATAATGGGATATTCTAATGGATTCTTCGATCTTAATTTTATGAATCCTCTACTTTTCGGTCTTAACATCATTGGAAAGATTCCAAATACATCTTTGTTTGTCAAATGACCGAATACTTCATCGTAAAATTCGTCAGTAATACTGTGAGCTCTTTTTACTTGTGTACCGCCGTCTGATGGTATTGAGGCTGAAGTCATCATGAATTCCATGTCAGGCCAATCGTCAGAAGAATTTGCATATTTCGTATTTATAAATGCGACTACTTCTAATCCAATACTCGATGTTAAAGGTCCATCTTCTGTTACAGCATATCGTAAAGCAGAATTTATATTAACAAGTCGACTCATAATTAAGCTGATTGGATAATCGATTTCAAAGACCAATCCACCAACTGCTATATGATCTTGTAAGTTTCTTCCAACTCCAGGAGAATCTTGTATTACGTCGATACCGACTTCTTGTAAATGTTGTGCTGGTCCAATGCCTGAAAGCATGAGTAATTGTGGGGAAGCTATCGCTCCAGCAGCGAGAATAACTTCACGTTTAGCGTATACTATTTGCTTCTGTTGATCTTTAATAAATTGTACTCCGTATGCTCGTTTATCGTCTTCGTCTATTAATACTTTTGTAACGTGGGAGAATAATGATACGTGTAGATTTTGTCGTAGTCGTACTGGTCGGAGGAATGCTTTTGCGGTGGAGCATCGGGTGCCTCGTCTCATGGTGAACTGATACCAAGCGTAGCCTGTCTGCTGCGCGCCGTTGATGTCGACAATATCGTAGCCCATTTCTTCACCTGCTTGAAGGAAGGCTGCTCCAATTGGCGTGTTGTAGGGTGCGTCTTGTACGGTTAAGTAACCACCTGTAAACACATAAATAACCTATGTCAATATTCAGTTATAATTTTTATTTTTAATCGAGTGGAATATATCAATTGATTTAGAATTGCAGATTAATCGTGGGTTTCTGAGACCGAAATTCCCGTTTAAAATATTGTTAAATCTGTTCTGTCAAAGATATGGCAAGTATAACGATATGTTTTATACATAGATTTTGATCTCGGAAACCAAAGTTATGTAAACTTAATCTGTGATGCACAGCACGAGTTACGGTGACATTACATAGCCTAGAAATTATGTGATATTGTCGTTTCCTTATCTAAACTATGTTGAGTTACTTTAAGCTATAATCTTAATACATATTGCTGTATGATTATGTGCATACATTATTATACTTTAATTTTTATGTATGTATTATATAATAAAACTACAAATGCAATAAGATTGCAATTGTCTGTCTAAAAATTGTATTGTCTTGAACTAATGACATTCTTATAATCCGGTACCTCGAAAGGACAAAAACGGAACCCTTATAGGATCACTTTGTTGTCCGTCCGTCTGTCTCTCAAAACCCCTTTTCCCAGGATTTCCATTTTTGAATTTTTCCTCTAATTAAAGCCGCAAGTAAAAACCTCACCTATTCCGTGATGTCTGTTATCTCTTGCGAGGTACGGATTCCTTTGGTCTTCTGATTTCTTGAAGTACGGCAGCACGTCTTCGTATCCCCAGCCAGGGTTCCCAAAGGCCTCCCATTGATCGAAGTCACGCCTGTTGCCGCGGATGTAGAGCATTGTGTTGAGGACGGAGGAGCCTCCGAGGACTTTGCCCTTGGTCCAACTGCAACGCTTGTCTTTCATCGCCTGGCACGCGGAGTCTTGTGGTTGAGTTCTGGAATACAGAATGTTGAATGTTTAGAAGAGGAGAAAGAGCTTGAAGTATAGCCTATTAATATTTAAATTCAGAACTACTGCGAGAGCAAATTTATGCGTCTTATGTCACTCCTAACTTATTGTAGGCTCCGAGGCTCTCAGTAGAGAAGTATAGTGAGCTGATGATGATGTTGTTAAAATTGTTAATTTTCTTCTTGTTAGATTTTTTTAAACTCTTGCAATAACATGATAACAATTTAATATTTGTTACTTATATTTATTTTATTGACATCTTTAAGATAGTACGATATTTTTTTTTAACTTACCGGTATTTCCAATCGAGTTTACTTTTATGAAGATACAAGGAAAGTAAGGGAACATCACTGATATCAGTCTCATGGCCACCAGCTTCTAACAGCAGTACATTCCAACCCTCCACCTCTGATAGTCTGTTCGCCAGAACCGATCCTGCTGATCCACCACCGACTATTATAAAGTCGTATTCTTCTCTCAGGTATTTCTGGTTAAATGGTCTGTTCTCTGGGTCTAGAAGGTCATAGTTGAAGTAGGCCATGGCAGCGAGCATGGCGGGAATGAAGGTTAGTTTGCTGATCCCAGCAATAGTGAGGGCGGACTTTGCCGCCGCCGCGGCAACCGTCAGCACGCCCATTATTAATGCTTCATCCCTTCATCTGGAATTAAAAAATACTCAAATTAGTATAAATATCACACAGTTTATTCTTGAGTGTAAACTACCGCAATACCCTAACATTTTTTTTCTTTTTTTTTTTTGTGAAAATATAAGCAGATTTTTTGTTAATTCTCATGACTGGAAAACCGCACCCTTAACCATTAGACTATTGACGATTTAAATATTGTCATTTCAGTTCTTTTTTGACAGCGAAAGGGATCGATATTAATAGAACACTCAAACTGTGAACTAATCAACTCTAGGGAAATACTTTTGTAATCTTTAACCATTGAGTTTGGTAGTAATAATAATAAAAAGGTTAAGGCTTAGTAAAGGTTGACTTTCCAGCACTGAAACAGTATAGAGCAAGGTCATGGCCTTTTACTAAACCGTGAGTACTAAAGTGCAGTAGATCAACTACTATTAAGCTACTCTGGATGTTATATAAATATTTGTATATTACAAATATTTGGACAATACAACGAATGTTTGTTTTCTTTTCAATGGCCGTGTTACCTAAGCAGCATAACGGTTTGAATTTTAAATGTCAGCGACTTGTTAAATTTGTCAGTTTATAAACTTACTACCCGTAATAAATACGTAATTAACTCACAAGAAAAATGTGATTTGATGTAACGAATAACAAAAATTTGTCTCAAGTCCTTGATATCAAAAGTGGACTATATTTTCAAAGGAATCAAGGTAAAAATTAACTTACATTTTAGCAATGTTTTTTATATAAATTACTCAGTAATCAGTATGTTTGTATGTCATCACTTGGCTACATTAATTATATATTGCAGTAAGTCTGGGCTTTTCAAGAAACTAAATATAATTATATAAATTGTATACAAGTTTTTTTTTTTTTGCGTAAGAATTAAGTGGAACTTTTATAAGGCCTGATAGCTGGGTGCTTTTTAAATTGATAAGTTGTCGAAGATTTATATTATAGAAATACATTTTTTATAATAATATTAGTAAATTGTAGCTTAAGTAAACTCCTGTACTTGTAGCCTCATATTGCCTTAATTATTACAGCCTTCATCATCATCAGCTCACTAGACATCCCCACCGAGGGACTCGGAGCCTACCCTAAGTTAGAGGTGACTAGGCCATTGTCGAACACGCAGGCCCAGTGCGGAATGACTTCACACATATCTTTGAATTTCTTCTTTTATTTGAATTATTACGCCTTTACTGCTTTTTAATTAAAAAACTTTCATATTTACTTTGTTCTTTATGAAATAATTAGCTGTCGCCCGCGACTCCGTCTGTGCGGAACTAAAAAAAATGAAAAACTAGCCTAAGGGTTCTTCCAGACTATGTTTTACATCTATGCCAAATTTCAGCGGGATCCGTTCATCCGTTCTGGAGATACCTTTAAGCAAAAATCCATCCATACAAACATTCTCAGAATGCAGAATTTTTACTTTCGATTGTAATTCTATTGATACTAACTTAATACATGGGTACTATTGCAATATGTATTCTGTTAGTATATGACCAGACACAGTGGGTCACAATCGTTGTGTAACACCGCAATGTCTTGCGCATTTTGCCCGAGGTGATCTTTGGCCCATCTAGGATGGTTGTTGAGGGCCTTATTACACAAATTACTAGTATTTTATACAGATAATAGTATGTTAATAAATATTTTATAATCTATACCCGCTTTATTATTCAATTTAAAATAAAAAAAAAACCGTTTAACGGACGCTTTTATTGAAAATTCTTTAAAATAATAGAGCGTCGGTGACTTAGAGGTCAAGCACTTGACTTGCAATCTGCAGGTCCTGGGATCGAATCCCGCCATGTCCCAATGTGTTTTTCGATTTCTGATTTACATATGTACATTTATCCCATGTTCTTACGGTAAAACATCGTGATGAAACCTGAACATATCTGAGAAGATATTCAACGATATGTGTGAAGTCAACCAACCCGCACTTGGTCAGCGTGGTTGACTATGGCCTAATCACCCTTAACTTAGGGTAGGCTCCGATTCCCTCGGTGGGGACGTATAGTGAGCTGATGATGATGATGATGAATAAAAATAAATTTTCGTATACAATAACCCTTTCCTTTTATATTGTTAATTTTTAGATATCCAATTACCAGAGTAATAAAAAGTTTTACATCGCGATTTAAATTTTTTACTATCTGTCGTCGGCGACTCCGTCCGCGCGTTATAAACTTAATAAGTAGCCTATGTGTTCTTCCAGACCATTTTCAATTTGTATGCTAAATTTCATCAAGTTCCGTTCAGCCGTTCTAGAGATACCTTCAAACAAACATCCATCCATTCAAACATTCGCATTTATAATGTTAGTAAGATATCTAGAAGATATTATTAAGATATCGAACTCCAAACTGACCAATTTTACAACAGAATAACAACTAAGATAAACAATGAATATATGAATATAAATAAATTGCAAAATCGCGAAATTGCTTTCAGAAAACTTGTAATAAAACATTTGTCTTTTGTTATGCAGTTAATGACATTGAAGTTTTTTTTTTTTAAAGAAAAATTGATGTTATCTCGGTTTTAAAATTAGCTGCTATTATTCAAAAAGTCCGTTGAACTTATACATATAGACAAGGTTAAAATTATTGCATAAAATGAACAAAAAAAAATTGGAAATAAAATCATTGAAATCCTGTTAGTCATATTTCAGTTTAGAGATACGTAAATATTGTTAAGGAGTCATTGTAAATTAAGAATTTATTGATTATAGGTATTCACTAAAGTTAAGAAAAGAAATCATATCACTCGTGGTAAGACTGTATGAACTTAGCTTTAATCAGGAAATATTTTTTTCTAGATCTTACTATATTTAAAATATTATAAATGCGAATGTTTGGATGGATGGATGTTTATTTGAAGGTATCTCCGGAACGGCTATACGGATTTTGATGAAGTTTAACACAGATGTAGAACATAGTCTTATGTAGAACATGTCATATGCTACTTATTAAGTTTTTTGTAATTCGACGCGTACGGAGATGCAGGCAAAAGATAGTATAAATTATAAAATTAATTAATATTAGGCATTTCATAACGGATTAGGCATCGTAAAATCATATGTAGGATAACGATTTTAAAAATTATGAATATTAATTAATTTTGATACAACACTTTCTAGATCGTAAATTATTTTTATAATCGGACTCTGTCATATTTATTGCATACATCGGACGCTTCTTTTATGCAACATATTGTAACATAGTGGAGACTATGTCATGAACCAACCCGTGTGTTTGACCTTGAGTGTATTCGCTTTCACGATAACATGACATGTTAAAACATCTTATGAAAGTACTAAACATTTTTTTTAATAAAAGTTTGTGTCGGCCACGGTAGAGTCAGAATTTTAACAGGCTCTATGTGTAATTACATTATATTAATCTTACTATTATTATAAATGCGAATGTTTGGATGTATGAATGGGTGTTTGTTAGTAAATATCTGTAGAACAGTTCAATAGATTTAGCTGTAATTTGGCATAGATGTAGAACATAGTCTGGAAGAACATACGTTAGGTTTCATAACGGTTTTTTTCTTAATTATGCACGGACGGAGTCGCGGGGAAATGCTAGTTTTGTTATAAATATTGTAAGAAATCTCAGCGATAAATAACTTCCGATATAAATAGGTAGATAGGCATGATAAAAGAAAGAAGAGAGTTTACTGTCTTTTGTTAATTTCGTTAATTTTTAATATATTTTTTAATTTGATTTTAATGGTTTAGAGTTTCCTTATTATATCCTTCATACACACATGTAGTGCAGGTGTGCACAACATTTTCCCATAGGTTAAGGAACCTATGTGTTATTACAGTATCGTGAGAATTAGGCCGCGGCGAAATTTATTGTCACTACAGAATTATAATGTTTCTACATCAATCAGTTCACTATATAATTAACAATAATTTACTCAAGACACAAGTGAAAGCATTTGTGAGAACATTTCCTCTTGTTTTACGTATCCTTTTATTTATTATTACTAATTAATTATATTAATTAATGATAATTAATACGTTGATCGTATCTGTGTAGATCTATAATCTTTGTCTAATATGAATTTAATAGACGGATTTAAAAATGATACAGTTTACAGGGGTTCGCAACCTTTTTGAATATAATACTAGTAGTAAAGTAAAATAGGAAAATGATTAATAATAAGACTTAAATATATTTAAATCTTTGTATAAGTAAGAATGTTAATATTAATATTTAATTATAATTATTGTAAATTGTCGTTGTCTTGTAACTATTAAACATTCAGTGACTCAGTTCAAATGTTGGTGACCTCTGGTGTAGCGTATGTGTAATTTTAGCTTATTGTGACAAGGTCCTAATTAAGATACCATTGAATAGTAAGTTACAACCATTACATTATAATATTTGCATAGTGTAATGGTGAGTAATTTATTGTTGCAATACGCACTAAGGATTGTATAATTAACATTCATAAAACTGACCAAACCACTCGATAGTTGTCCATGACTTACATTTCTTGATAAATAATTATGTCCTGTTTTTTGTACTTATATGACGTTCATTTTTAATAAGTCCTTGTATATAGATGCTAATTCTGGAGCACAAATGTGTAGCCAATTGAAAGGGCTTCGAAGTTTTTTGTGGAAAATTTCCTCAGTTTTGTCGTTTATAATACAATATTTATCTTATATATATAATTCTCGTGTCAAAATTTTCGTTGCCATACTCCTCCGAAACGGCTTGACCGATTCTCATGAAATTTTGTGAGCATATTGAGTAGGTCTGAGAATCGGCCAACATCTATTTTTAATCTCGCGTGGACGGAGTCGCGGGCGACAGCTAGTAATAATATAGTTGTCGCCCGCGATTATGTCCGCGCGAAATTAAAATAACTTAATTAGTAGCCTATGTATTCTTTCGGGCTATGTTCCACATCCATGAAGCCGTTATTTAGGTACCTTGTAACAGACATCCATCCATCGATCTAAACTTTCGCATTTATAATATTGGTAAGATTTACTTATAAGAAAAATTTTGTACAACCTCTTTTCTTAAGTTTCTTTTTTATTTTAAAGTTTAATTATATAATTAGTCGTGACATTTTTAAAACATTAATTCATATCGAAATTATCAAAGACTCTATAAAAATGTCAAAATACATAATTCATCGTACAGGTAGTTTGCAGTGGAAACTCTCAAGGAATAAAACGTTTAATTTAGAATGCAAACATAATCTATCTCGTAAGTAAAGTTACAACAGCACACCTCAAGAGACCACAATCGTGTCAATAGCGTAACCACCATATTCACAAGATACGAAGCGTATAATTGTCACGCAATTTCATAGCAAATATTTAAAGATTCAATATTTAATTATAGAGATGTTGTTCAATCAATTTCAAAATTCATAACTTAATATAATGCAATGTTTTATAGAATTTTGTAAACTAGCGGAATTATAGACTTCTGCAACAAACTAATCTTAATATGTATAATAGTTTAATAGATAGAGGACAAACTGGAATAATATATTAATGCGTCTACTAGCTGTCGATTGAGGCTCCGTCAGCGCAGAATTAAACCTATGTGTCCTTCTAAGTTATGTTCTACATCTATGCCAAAGATATCCATGCATCCATTCTGTAGATACATTCTAATAAACATCCATAATTTAAGCATTTTATCAAAATATTACACTTTCAGACAGAACTTGCAATCGCCAGCGACTTCTTCCGCGCGGAATTAAAAAAAAGTTAATTAGGAGCTTATGTTTTTATTTTCAGACTATATTCTATATGCTATATGAAGAAGTAGAAAAATTACTAACCGTACTTCAATAATAAATAAATAAAAAGACATACGTATTTCTCACCCTCTTAAAATATACACACAAACACATCCACACTAATACAATACATAACCACACACACAGACATACACATGCAACCGCACACCTAAAATATATATAAATCAACTATAATTAAAAATTTAATTTACTAATACATATTGAACATAGTGTGAACGGGTCCTTACGCTCGAATCATAATTATAAACACTCGCAATGTTTCAATGAATGGTGTTCTCTTTCTATAATAACTACCAAAATTGCTTATCATTTCTTTTTGTTTATTTGTAAGGTATATCGTATTGTAAAAATAAAAATAAAAATGTATGGTACGGAAGAACGGAGCATTCTGTCACAGGTATTATATACTTAAAAGGATGCTCCAACAACTGATGTATATTTTTATGTGTACTTTGGTTTAAATAAATCATCATTTTATTATTATATGCCAAATTTCAGCGAGGCAGACGTTTTGGAGATACCTTCTAACAAACATCTATCCAAACATTCGCATTTATAATATTTATTTAGTAAGATTCTCTGTGAATCTTACTTTTGCATTATTAAAGAATAGATGTGTCTCTGGTATAGACTGACAACCACTACAATGAAACTTGTACAGTCGCATATTACCATCCCTTTCATTTTCTTTGAGAAAAGAGAGACAACAATTGTCATGACAGTCGAAACCCACCATAATCTTACTTATCATACTAATATTATAAATTCGAATGTTTGGATAGATGTTTGTTAGAAGGTATCTCCAAAACGCCTGCCTCGCTGAAATTTGGCATATAGAATATAGTCTGAAAAAAAAACATAAGCTACTTATCAACTTTTTTTTAATTCCGCGCGGAAGAAGTCGCTGGCGATTGCAAGTTCTCTGTAAAAGTGTAACACGATATTTTGATTTAAAAAAAACAAAATGTGATGGTAAATTCAATGATGCAATATCAATCGTTCCGAGATAGCTGAGACCTACTTTCATTTAGTGAGAGTTATGTGGTACAACGGTTATGATGCATTGATATTTCCACTATAGCTGTTGCCCGCGATTTAGTTCATGTTGAATTTATATACAGAAGCTTACGCGCTATTCCAGACTGTAATCTGTTCTATTCATCGTAAATATACAAAAATCAATTGCTGTTCGTTAGTCTCGCTGAACGGATTTATCTTATCTTGGTCTTGAAATGTTTGTGGAGGTCTAGGGAAGGTTTCAAAGGTCAGAAAAATTCGGATAATTTCCGGGAATACCCTATAAGCAGCTCTTTTTTACCATATAAACGGCTGAATGGATCGCGCTGAAACTTAGCATAGATGTAGAACCTAGCCTGGAAGAACACACAGTATAATAATTATGTTTTTTTTTTAATACGCGCAGACGAAGTCGCGGCCAACAGCTAGTGTTGAGTTCAACAACCGTCGACTGAGGGCTACCTCCACCCCTCTCAAGAACGGCTGAAAATTGGTGAGGAGGTAGCTTAGAGCGAAGAGACGGACATAGGATACTGTTTATTCATTTTTTTTCGAATTTATGTCTAGAATATCTGCTTTTTATTTATATTATAAATGCGAAAGTTTAGATGGATGTGATGTGGATTGATGGATGGGTGGGCTACACTAATTAAGTTTTTTATATATCCATGCAGACGGAGTCGCGGGCGATAGCTAGTTTATAATATTAGTAAGATTACTTTGTTATTAAGATCATAAAATAGTTGTCGGTTGTTAACGCAAAGAAGCGAAGGTTCCTCATGCCAGGTTTTACCGCTAAATCTGTACAATTATATAACAGATCTCTTTTATAATAGTTATAACAATCTCGTGTAAGCGGCTCATGTTTTTAATTGGACGAGAACATACAATTTCTTTACGAATAATTAAGAAGCGTATTTCAAAATGTATGACTGTTGAAATCTCTAATTTTAACGACGATATTACTTTAAAATTAACGGTATTTTAAAATTATTTTACTTTCAATCCCAATCTATCATAGTCAGGTTTGTTATAGTCGTGATATTATGTGACCGTGATGTCAAGATACAATTCCTTCCTGTCACAAACAAGTTGTATGAAGGATGCATGTTCTCATTTTTTATTTTTTTATATCAAAAGGTGGCAAACGAGCGAGCGGCCACCTGAAATCGCTGAAATAGCGAAGTGACCGTTGTCCATATACATAGACATACGCAATTGCATATGCGTTGCCTACCTTTAATCGACGGAGAAGAGGATGCACAGAAAGAAAATATCTTCCCTTTCCATGCATCCTCTCGTCCCGAAAGTCCACTTCCACTTCCCATCCTTTCCTTATAAGAAGAAGGTGGGAAGGGAAAGAGGACTAAATTAGGCCTCCGGGACTAACAATGAATTGTACACAAAACTGTAATGAGCCCTTCTAAATTCTTTAAGAGTGTTTGTAATTAATATATTAACTACATATATCTTATTAAAATTAATACTAATAAAGGAAATCGAGAATTGATATAGCGTGGGTTTCCACTGTCAAATAGTCATATTGTTTTGTCAGTTTTAATATAGAGGAAGAGAACTACAACATGTGTTTATTCGAATGTTTCCACAATGTAAACACACTATATATATATCATTTTTAATCTTATAATTTTTGAGCAAAAGTTTTCATATATTAATTTTTATCCAATGAACTTAAATTGATGTTGAATAAGTTTTTAAACTTTATAAGTTTGAAAATCGAACACTAAGACTTTTTTCTCTTTCATATTAAGAATTAACTAAAACCTTCTTTTGTTTATAATAATAAAATATTAACTTACATGTATAATATCGCTAGTTTACACTGAGTCACTGCACGTTATCCACTAACCCCTTGTATACGCGCGGTTCGAACGCCAGCCGATGCCATACTGTGTGGCCCCTGCCGGCTTGAGCAATGCTCGCAGTGAGCGGTCAATGTTAACAGGCATTACCAACAAATGACACTTGCTTCATCCGGACTACGTTTAATGTACCTGAGTATGTATCCCTATATTATGTTCAGGTAATTATGAATGAGAGAGATGTGTATCTAGGGGTAGGGATAGAAAGAGATGGATGTATCAAAAGTGATATGATTAAGAAGGGAGTGTGAGCTACCTCCTCACCAATTTTCAGGCATATCGGTAAAGCCGTTCTTGAGTTATAAAAAGTGTAACTAACACGACTTTCTTTTATATATAGATTAGTGGAAATTGACTGCAACGATAACTTGTTTGATCTTCTCCTAACATTTAAAGGTTTTGAATTTACAAGTTATTTGGTGACTGTTGTAAGTGGGACATTATTATGACCTTAACATAAGTTTGACCCTTTATGCATCTTTGTTTTCAACTTTACACTCTCGTATATTTCACTATGTAAAATTATATTTTAATAAATGGATTACAAATTCATTTGAAGTCGTTTGGGATTATAGATATAGTTTAAGGTATTCAACTTTCTATAAAATTGTGTAATGTACAATTTATTCCCAATTAAATTTACGTAAGTAGAGACATACTTTTACAAACATTCATCACAAATGAGTAGTATTTTAAAGTGATTCATATATATTACGTACCTATACTAATTTTGTGAAACAAAGTATTTTGACTTACATGCCTATGTAAGTAAGCTGACAAAAGCTTTTGCAATTTCCGTTAAAATGTCTTTCCTCTTCTAACTGTTGGGAAGAAAATCAAAAAATGTAGCAGTGTATTGACCCAACAATAGTCCCACTAAAATGTCGACGTTCGTTACCTCACTATTAATTCTGACACTGGACTTTGTAACGAAAGCACGTCATTCGCGCCAAATAAATCTTACTTATAATGTCTGAATTAACCTACTCAGGGTTGTTTATAGTTAAGCAGTTCATTAGTGCTGTTTCCACACTATGAGTTCCCCTCAGTGACACATTAACTCTGAGTGATGTGTTAAGTAATCCAAATATTTATAACTTTTTTCTAATTACGGTGACTTAACTATTATATAACATGAGTTGAAACATTATCAAGAAATTACAAATTACATGCAGTTATGCATAATTTATATTAGTGATTAACCGTCGGTTTCCGAGATCAAAATCCCTATTTAAAATATATTGTTATATCTGTTTTCTTAGTTAATGATGGGGATGACTTTGTTTTGTACAGATATTTCGGTCTGAGAAATTAAATGTAAGTTAACGAGTTTTGAAAGATTCGATCCTCATATTGTTTATGAAGAAATACTCATTTATCTAATCTAACTTAACCATATCTTAGAAAGGAAATCCGCGTCAAAGTTATCTACGGAAAGGCTTCGAATAAACAGAGCGGTACACGTCGTATGTGGAACGGACGCGCATAGTAAGCGATTTTGAACCTTTTTCTGTACGACGTAAGGTTGATTACTGTTTATTGTTTCTTAATATTTTGTAATCCAAGGGTTTCCAATTTTCGTTACAGACGTACTTTTATGGTTTCTTGTGCAAATTTAATGTCAAAACAATACATATGACATATTTGACCCTATTTTTTTCTTAAATAGTTCCTCCAAGAACAACATTAATATAAAAAATTATATTGTCGTCTAAATCTATTACAACCAGAAATTTGGGCTATGATTACCTAGCTGTCGCCCTTGACTCCGTCTGCTCAGAATTTAAAAAAACTTAATAAGTAGCATATGTGTGCTTCCAGACAATGTTCTACATCTATGTCAAATTTCAGCGCCATGCAGCCGTTCTGGAGATAACTTTAAACAAACATCCAAACATTCGCATTTATAATATTAGTAAGATTATTAAGATTTGATCTGCATTTTTAAGTTCCGCTATTAAGTATCTTGTTTCATATAATTACAAGCTCCAACACAATCCGAGATATATGAATTATGATATAAGTATTTAACATTTTGCAAGTTGTGTAGCCTACGTGCGTCTTAACACATATGCATTTGACTTATGACTGTTTCACATAACCAATACTTTCGTAACAAGACTTTATCAACAACGTTGACTCTGATTGCAAAAAAAACTGTCAAATAATAGGCCTAAGTTTACTCGAGATGCAATAATAGGTTTATTTCATATAGAGTAAATTTATTATTCAAAACCGCTACGACTTTGAGAGCGTCCTTTAAGAAGCGAGATTATCGCTATCTCAAAGGCAATGCATATGCAGTTCCTCTGGTGTTGCTATATCCATGGACGCCGATTTACACCTCGGTGTTCTCTCTGCTCGTTTGCCCCCTAATTTTATAAAAAAAATTCATCAAGTCCAGGGACAGGTGGCTACAACATTTTAGACAAAATCCGATGTTTACGAGCTTGCATTTATGCTGTTCAATTTGTAGCCTAGTCTTCGTTTACGCAATAGGTTAATCCATCTTCAGCGCCTTTTATACAGTCAATAATAGAAGGTTATTTAGTTGTTGACGGTCAGTACATTGCCAGGCGGATCCTTATTTTCAAATGTTGCGAAATACCCGAGGTGACTGGTGTTACTAATTATGTGCATATTAATAAGATATCCAAGTTCATGTAACAATTTGGGATATTGAATATTGATAATTGCATTTGCTTATCTTCACTGAACTTCGCTCAAACGACTGGACCGATTTTGATGAAATTTTTTGTGTGTGTTCAAGGGGATCTGGGGATGGTTTAGATTCACAATTTTCATCAAATATTAACTTCATATTAATTTATTTAAATTAAAGACGTGTAGACAGGAGAACGTCTGTCGGGTCCGCTAGTGTTTTTATATATTTTAACAGATAATAAATATATTCTTCAATGAAAACTTTTTTTTATTTTTAACCAAACAACTATCCTAAACTACCTTTAACAGTGAAGGGAAAATGTGTCTAAAGATTAATGGATTTAAATGTATACATTTTTTTTGTATTTAAAATATTGTTTGATTATTGCAGAATAACAAAAAAAAAATGTTCAGTATAGTGATAAGAAATATACCAGTGTTTGATTTAAAAAGATAAAGTATCTTACTATTATAAATGCAAAACTTTAGATGGATGGATGTTTAAAGATATCTCCAGAACGACTGAACGTACCTCGATAAAATTTGGCATATATGTAGAATATATCTGCTATCTGGAAGAACACATAGGCGCGACGTAGTCGCAGACGACAGTTAGTTATACGTTAAATTTATAGTCTAGTCTAGTGAGTAAAAGATAGAGTAAATTGCATATAAATATTATATGAATTATGATTGACCTACTGTTAAATAGTTATGTAATGGAGGACTTCTGAGTTTTTGTGGAGTCACGTAAGAACTTCGCGGTCACTGATTCACAGAGTTAATCTAAGCGCTGTATTAATAATTTTATTGCTGTTTTACACAAGATACATCTATGTTACGTATTGGTTTATTTACTGTGGGTTTCTGAGACCAAAATACATTTTTAAAAATATTTTTATCTCTGTTTTTTAAAGATGAAAGACAGCGATGAAAATAGTAGTATGGGATACAAAATAAATGTTTCATATGTATTATTTAGGAATAATAAAATGTTATAAAGAAGTATTTGTAAAATTTATTTAATGATTACATTTCTTTCGGACCATGAAAGCCTTATTTAAGGCCTTGTCTTCGTAAGTGGTGAATGTAGTAAAAAAAATGGTTCCAAACTTCCGCAGTTTATTTTTTTAATTGCATTGAACAACATGGACACAGATAACCGTTATTTTGGCTGTACTTTATATATCTTGTATCTTTAAATGAGCAATTCTTGTATATATATTATATAATTGGAATCTCGGAATCGGCTCCAACGATTTTCATTAAATTTAGTACATAGAGGGTTTCGGGGGCGATAAATCGATCTAGCTAGGAATCATTTTTAGAAAATGTCATTTTATTCGTGTTTTATCGATAATCAACTTAAACTTAAACTTAACTTTTTCTATCGGTAAGATCGAAAAATATTATTCATATACAATTAAAAAAAAATACGGAGCAAATCTCGGTCATCCAGGTACTATTCAAATTAAGATGAGTCATAGTATTAAAGACCTTAAGTAAATTAAGTTAAGAATAATCATTAATTATAACTTAATTATACATGTGCAATGGAATTAACATATTTATTATTTAAGTGATTTCTCAGAATTAAATGTTAATTAATGACATGACAAAGAAATAATTAAACAGTATTTAGAAGTGTTTAAAGTTTTAAAATCGCAGGACACATAATTAGCAAAACATATATGTATGGATGGATGGATGTTTATTAGAAGGTATCTCCGGCGCAACGAATCTTGATTGAATTCGGCACAGATGTAGAATATAGTCTGAACTTAATATTTATTTATTTATTTTTAATTTCGCGCAGACGGAGTCGCAGGCCATAGCTAGTGCAAAATAAAAGAAAGATACTGTTTTAAAAGTGTTGCTTGTGACTTAGGTTGCCCTTGATGTTATTTCGTTCGAAGACACATTGCCAAACGATGTCACTTTCGCATACTAAATGAATGTTAGGTAACACTTCTAGCGTTTTGCTATAGTATGTTGGAATTATAGGATATATTCTTCGATTGATTGGAGGCAATTATGTTCAGCGAACTTTAATAGCATGAGTAGTTATGATATAAGTAAGAGAAAAGTTAAACTTAAAGTTTTAAACAATAATAAAAACAAAGGAGTTTTTACTTAAAAAAGCGATCTCTTTGTACTCGTATATTTATTATTTTCTCAACAACAATAGAAGTAAAAATTACAAATATATTCCCAATTTTCAATTAGGCGCCAATAGCCTAATGGTTAAGGGTACAAATTCCCGATCACAAGGTAGGGGGTTCGAAATCCCACCATTCGACTATTGTCGTAAACCATATCTTAGCACAAGCTTACAGCTTAGTAGTACAAATATCAGTAAATTTACAAAAAAAATCTGCAAATTTGCAAATATTTTAATAAAATAAAAATAATGAAATGGGTTTTTAATACAATATAACATGGGTCAATTTTAATAAAGTTATTTACAATTCGTCTTTCGTATATCTTAATTTAATTATATCTACTGCCTTTTGTGCGATTGCTAAAGTAGTTGCCATTACATTGGCTCCTGGTATGCTCGGCATTATACTAGCATCTACAACTCTTAGATTATTCAAACCACGGACCAACAAATTAAAATCGACTACACTATCATCTCCCATTTTAACAGTACCAACTGGATGAAAAATTGTCATTCCCATATGTCTTATATAACATTCCCAATAAAAATCTGTGTCAAAAATATAATGTAAACATTCTTTGATATTTATATTATTAATTTCTATGCCTAAAGATTTAAAAATATTAGTATTCTGTAGTTTATATACGAATTTAATAGCCTCAATTAAAGTTTGCACGTCGTTAGAATCTTCTAAGTAGTTACTTTGAATTATTGGGTTTGTACCTGGTATTTTGTTGCGCAAATTTATTGTTCCTTTAGATTTAGGATGTAATAAAGTAGGATATATACCTAATAAATTATAATTATTGTTTAAATTAATAATATTGTCTATTATATATTTTCTATATCCAACACCATCGAGGTAACGTTTAAGAGACATTTTATTGTTTTTAGTGTAATACATATGATGGAATTGAATGTTGGGTTGGTTTGAGGAATTATCAGTGTTTATAAAACCTAAGAAATCAGTTATACCAATAGTAGAAAGATGGCCACTTCTATTTAGCATATACTGTAACAAAAATAACTCCATTGCGTCAGATGGAAGATTTACATCTAAATTTGTTTTAAGAAACAGTGGAACTATTAAATGATCTTGCAAATTTTGACCTACAGGCAAATTTAATATACATGGGATATCTTTTTCAGTTAAATGATCTTCCGGTCCGATTCCTGACAGCATCAGTAATTGAGGAGTTGCTATAGAACCAGCTGATAAAATAACTTCTTTTGACGCCATAATGTTAAATACTTGGCCATTTTCTAGTCTTATTTTTACTCCGATTGCTTTTTTCTGTACAGAATCAATGAGGATTTTTATAACATGTGCATTCTTTACTATATCCATTTGTTTACTTGCACGTTGTAGATAAACTTTACCTGTGTTGAAGCGTTTACCTTCTTTTATCAGTAATTTAGCTCTTCTAGTGCCAATCACTGCTTCATTATTTTGATTTTTATGAAAGGAAAGATTCAATTCTTTCCATGCTTCTCTAATGATTTCATACCACTTATTGTCATCAACATGACCGTTATCGGAGATGTTTAGTAATTTTTCTTGTTTTTCAAAATAAGGTAAAAGTGCATCGTAATCCCAACTTTTACCCCAAGATGTAAAATCTTCTGGATGCCCTCTTATGTATATCATAGCGTTAATGGAGCTAGAACCGCCCATACATTTACCTTTACTCCAAATACAAGTATTATCATCAAAACCCAAGCAACTTTTTCCATTAGGTTCTACTTTATATTTCCAATCGTTTTTCTTATTCTGATTAAGAAATAAGAAAGCAGGTACCTGAAATAAAAAATCCTATTATTATATAATTTTAAGATTCTATCAGAAATCTGATTAGAAGATCTGAGATAGCCATTAATCCTGTCATATCTCTTTCATTAATATTCTAAACCTTAAGTTTTATATAAAACTAGCTGTTACCCGCGACTCCGTCCGCGCGGGATTAAAAATAGATGCTGGCCGATTCTCAGATCTACTCAATATGCTCACAAAATTTCATGAGAATCGGTCAAGCCGTTTCGGAGCAGTATGGGAACGAAAATTGTGACACGATAATTTTATATACTTTAGTACCAAAGGAAGGGCTTACCTCACTGAGAATGTCAGGATTGTCGCCAGCTTCTACAAGGAGTATTGACCATGTTGGATTAATATTGGACAACTGACTAGCTACTAATGTACCTGCGGTGCCAGCCCCCACTATTATAAAATCGTATGATTCTCCAACTGGAATGGTAATAGGAAATAAAGGGCATCTTAACAGGATTAGAAGTAATGCACATGGCATGAATACATGGCTCTCCTTAGCGGTTTGAAATTTAAGAGATATTTAATTAAACTAAACAATTATCAGTCATTAATTTTTTTTGTCTTTGGCTTTGATTCCAATCTTATGATAGGTATCAAAATAAGTAATATATTTTAGCTATACATGTCTCTTACCGTTTGACTTTTTAATCACTGCCTCTGTTCTATCATCAGGCCATTCGCTGTCATTTATAATGGAGCAGTGTGCAGCAATCATAGTGGTTACTGCTCTTAAAAACATTTCACCTCCCGTATTTGAAAATCCCAATGGACATACGGAAGCGATATTGGAAGAGAGCGTATCCATATCTACTTGAAATAAATATAAATTACGACAGTAAACTATAACGCCTAGCAAATTTTTATAGCAGTATTATATTTAGCTCTTTCTGCTAATTTCTAAAATATAATTAAAAAGAAATGGTATTCACTATCAAATAATAAAAGATATACTCACTTATTATAGACTTCTTTCATATAAGACTTCCTTGTTGTTTTGTCTTTCAGAACACACTGATTAATAATACGATAAATGGAACGGTTCATTACGCGGATTGCAATTCGATATTTTATAAAACTAGTTTACATTTGATATTGTTCTAACTCGATATTGATATGATCTGCATATGATGACAAATAAATTAATGATAAATAGCCATCCATTTAGCAGTTGCACAACATAAAGTTTGATACAATATTTTCAACTTAGAAACGCCTTAAATTTTGTAATCAGCAATCGCCGTAGTTAGAACGCGCATGCTATTTAAAAATTAATAATATCATATATTCCATAAAAGTGCAGTTATTATAATTTATTTTAATTGTCAGTTAACTGATGAATATTTTTTTTGTTAGAAAATATAAGCAGATTTTTTTGCAAATTTACTAATATTTCTTTAACCATTCCAACTTAGTTCTAGGTTTGTGCTAGGATATGGTTTACGACAATAGTCGAATGGCGGGATTCGAACCCCCGACCTCGTGGTCGGAAATCCGTATCCTTAACCATTAGGCTATTGACGCTTTAAATATTTAATTAACACACGGAATTAAAATACAATTCATGTCATGGGTGGCGCGGCAACATATTCAATAAATTATTCAAGTTTAAATATATTTGTATAAGCATGGCTTTACTAACAATACGGAATCATTGGTATATTAAGCAATATTAATGAAACAAAAATTGAAGCTAATGGATTAAAAAGATTGTTAAACTCGATATTTTCAGATATTTACTTTTCAAAAAGTCTTATTTCTGAAAAAGGGTTGACATAAACAATTAAATTGTAAAAATTAAAAAAACATTTATTTTTTCTTAATTATAATTCCGAATGCTCTTTTAACCAAAACTTTTTCAAGTAATCTGCGCCTTTCTCTGCTATCATAATTGTTGGTGCGTTTGTATTACCTCTGACGATAGATGGCATGACACTCGCGTCAATAACTCTTAAGCCCTCAATTTTACGGACCCTTAACTCTGGATCAACGACTGCTGTTTTATCACCGTCAGGACCCATTTTAGCGGTCCCCACTGGATGGTACAATGAGAAGGTCATCTCCTTTGCAATACAAGCTAAAAATTCATCCGAACCTTTATCTAATCCCCTACATGCTTCTATATCTAACCAATTTAGTTTTAGGCCAAATTGTTTGAAAGTTTCCGTATTCTCCAACGTAAGAATATATTTCTTTGCATTTCTTATTAATACATTTAGGTCGTCAGGATCTTTAAAATAATCAGCATATATTAATGGATATTCCCTTGGATCTGTACTTTTAAGCATAATCTTCCCTTTTGATTTGGGCTTTAGTAAAACATCGTAAACGACTATAACTGAATTGTTTTCATTTATTTCTTCAAATTTGTTCTTTACTTCTTCGCTTAAATTATGCAGACCCAAAATATCTATTAAATTAGCTATCTTAGGTGGTAGTACAAGGTAATGACATTGTACCTCTGGGCTGACAGCGTTTGGGTCACTTGAGTTAACAAAAGCAATAATTCTGTGAGGATTTACATCAGAGTAAATGCCTTCATTAGTTAAGATATATTCAGAGAAAGCTGTAGTTATGGCGGGCAGAGTATTGAACTTATGTTCCGTTGGTGTACTGAAGTAAGTAGGGAAGAATACATGGTCTTGTAAATTTTCACCAACTGGTAAATCTGCTTTTACTTCAATGTTGAAACTTTCCAAGTGCTCTTTAGGCCCTATACCAGAGAGAAGGAGCAAATGAGGAGTGTTTATACTTCCAGCAGATATTACAACCTCTTTTTTTGCGTGAACTACTATTTCTTTACCATCTTTTTGGATTAAAATGCCACTGACCTTGTTTGATTTTGGATGAAACAGAATTTTAGATACGAAGCCATTTTTAATTACATGCAAATTTGGTCTGTCCTTTATTGGGCTTAAAAATGCTCTTGCCGTACTATGTCTTTTTCCTTCTTTAATAGTAGAATATGATCTAGTAATTCCCATTTGATTAGCACCGTTTATATCATTTAAATGTTTTATTCCTACTTCTGTAGCTGCTTTTATGATTACATCCTCGAAAGGATGAGCTGCCTCGATTTTTTGTACATTAAGGTAGCCTTCTTTACTATGGTACTTTTTATTTTCTTTCGTTAATGGTTCTGAAAAATTTTCACTTTTCTTAAAATACTCTAATACTTCTTCGTAACTCCAACCTGTATTCCCCATAGCTGCCCATTCATCGTAGTCTGCTTTGTTTCCTCTGACATAGAACATAGCATTGATACTGCTACTGCCTCCAAGTACTTTCCCGCGAGGCCAGGCACAACGATGTTGTTTATATCCTTTGCAAGCTGTTTCTGATGGTTCAGGTTTGTAGCCCCAATCTACTTCAGTGTTCATACTATTGTAGAATAGTTGTGGTATCTGAAAGTAATAAATAATAATTTTTATTATTGCTAACTTTTGCCCGAAACTCCGTCTAGACAGAATTAAAAAAAAGGGTGAATATCTCATTTGTCATTCGAATTTCTGTTCTATCTGTTCCGAATTTCAAAATATGTGTTCCGTTGCAGAATTATTGATTTATTATGTGAATTAAATCTATACCGCGAGAACCGTACACATTTCCGACATCATGGGTAGCCTATGTGTCCATTTATCTATACATCTAAACATTCGTGTTTATAATATTAATACGATTTTAATTGCATTGAATGCAATCAAAAATATAGATAGGAAATGAAATTAACCTCAACCTATAGTGTGATAAAAGGTTATTCGCATATAAAAATATACACGGATCACAGAGTAAATAAGATTATTATATTAGAATTATAAGTTCGATATGTAGCCTACATGTCTTTATCAAAGTCAGACGCGACATAAAGCAAATAGCAACATTCTCGCACGGACGACTTTTTTAATTATTTCTGGTCGAATATCGGTCTTATTGGTATATATTAAATTGGTATATTCTTTACCTCTGTGGATACAGTTGGATTGCCGCCAGCCTCTACAAGTAGAACCTTCCATGATGGTACCTCGGACAGTCTATTAGCGACCACTGCGCCCGCGGACCCTGCTCCCACAACTATGAAGTCGTAGTTTGGATCTGTGGGAGTTATAATTTTTACCTGATAAACATTGAAACAATGTTATAACAGTAAGATGTGTAATATTTTTTTTATTTTTGTTCCGTCATCCAACATAGTACAAACGAGCGATGACGATTATGATCACCATGATTACCAGCCTTTCCCAATTCCTTCCACATAGCACAGTATGTGTGTCCACCGTCATATGTGTATGCGCATATTTTTAGACATTATTAATTAGAATCCTTTAGTGTGAATGGCGCGCTTTCGTTACCAAGTCAAGTGTCAGAATGATTAGTGAGGAGACATAAACGTCGACATTTTAGTAAGGCTAGTTGCGCCAGTACACCGGCACAGTGTCGGATTTTCTTCCTTACAATATGTGTGAATAATGCTTACCATCAGTAACAGCTTGCGTTGCATCTGGTGGCCACAAATGGTCTCCAGCGAGGGCGCATTGTGCGGCCAAAAAGGTCTGCAATGACTGCACGAACAGCGGTCCTGCTGCTTGGTAACTGTTGACAATCCCTGTTGTCAGCACTGGATCGCACGCCCACATGCTGACTATTACTGTAAACAAAAATATTATGTCAAATGTAAACCAACGAATTCGCACGCCTAGTCGCGCAGCTGTGGCCGCGCGTCTCCTATTTCCTCTGACGTTTTAGTCACTGCTATACAAAATGTCAGGTAACGACAGAAATAGAGCGTTACTTTATGTCATATATTAATTCACTAGCTGTAGCCCGCGACTCCGTTCGCGCTGTATTAACAAGCTTAATTAATGGCCTATGTGTTTTTCTAGACTAAGTTTTACATGTGTGTTCTGGAGATACCTCCAAATAAAACATCCATATAAACATTCGCATTTATAGTATTAGTAAGATTACTTTCCCTTGTTGTATGTTCCTTTGTAAGATACGTCAGAAGAAAGCTTTAGAACAAGGAAGAAAGATTGTTTTGACAAGTGATGGTTTTGTTGGTTGCGAGCAACTTGTGAAAAAACATGACAACGGTTTTGAAAAAATATCGGATTCATTTTGAAAAACAAGGAAGTAATTTTTAAGTTAATTAATTTTAATTTTGCTTATTTTACTAAAATTTGTCTTGGAAATTAAAAAGAACTCAAATTATTTTCAGTTGCAAGTCATGGGAAGTTATTTTTGTAATCAATACAAAGAAATATATAAATAAACTACAAGTTAAAAGGAATACGATGAATATTAATTATTTCAAACATAATTTGTATGCATTATGAATTTTTTGCAAGCGAAGTATGAAGCAAACGGTTGAATTTAATATTTATAAATATTTCCATTGCCAGCGGAACTTGAAACATGTTTTTTATAATAATAATGAACACTTAATTTAATTTAATTTCAAATAATTTTAACTTAAAAATAATCGTATTTTTGCACTTCTTAGAATTTGTGGAAGACTCGACGGGGTGTTCAATAGCGGGAAATATGCAACAGGTGTTCACCGAAATCTATTAACCCTTAATTCGACGAAATTTTTTGTAGAAAAAAATCTTTTTTTAGTAGTCATACTTACGTAATTTTCTCTAAACAAGTTCAGTAGATTTTTTTTAATTAGTTGTTCGTTACACTGGACATCATCTAATTAAGGGTTAAACTTTAAGGGTTAGTAAATTGAAAAATAATTATTCGGAAATAGCCAAAAATCCAAGCCAATAGCAGCAGGATGGTTACCATGGCAACGGAAATTCTCCAATGACGAAAGCTTTTATATTTGGACATTTTCAATTGAAAGTTTTAGGGAATGAAGATAAAACAATGTTTTTCTATGTAACAATGAATGCTTCATACAGAGCCGCATGCGAACAAACAGTGTAAAAGTGTTCGTTTGCGCGCCTCTGCATGTACACTGCTACACTCCGATATCACGATAAACACTTCGCATACTTATATATGTATTACATATTAGATAACAACGGACAGTAGATCGATTGAAATAAAATAGTAATCAGGTAATTGGTGTTATCACACAACTGAGTAGATACTATCTTTTATAATAATAATAATAAAAATAAAAATAATATATTGCTGCCAATAGGCCCGATATAGTAATAATAGACCGGTCTGAGAGTTGTGTAATGTTAGTCGATGTCACTATTCCACATGACGAGAATCTCGTGAAAGCTGAAAAGGAAAAAGTGTTAAAATACCTTGATTTGGCTCACGACGTTACCGCCATGTGGCGTATGAAATCGACTACCATTATTCCGATAGTCGTATCGGTAAATGGACTGATAGCGAAGAGCTTCGACCAACATCTCAAGAAGCTCTCGCTAAACAGTTGGATTAAGGGCCCGATACAAAAGGCAGTTATACTAGAAACCGCGCGCATCGTGAGAAGGTTACTGTCTCTGCAGCCCTGACCACTGGTTGTTTGAGTCATGGGATTCCGCAGCCGGTGGTGTTCTCTTTTAAATATGTTTTGTATATATATATATATATTTTATATGAAATGTATTATATTAGAAATGTGATAAATAAATGTATATCGGATAATAATAATAATAAGCCTTTATTTAGATATGTTTCATTACATTACATTATATTATTTAAAGTTTATGTCAAGTTAGTATTTAAGTTTATATCTGTTTGTCCCATGTGGACAAAGGCCTCTTCCAAATTCATCAAAGATGACTACAACCTTCCAATTCTACCACTATCTTTTATAAAGCGTTTATCAAAACATCTTAAGTCTAAAAGGTATTTTGCATGCCTATTCGTATTATCTTACAAATATAAATGCGAATAGATAAATTAATGTTTACAAATATGTAGGTGTTAGATACATTATGAACGGCTGCATGATTCTCGTTGAAGTTCAAGATAAATATAGAACATATTCTTAAGAACATATAGGCTACTAATTTTTAGGGCTCCGTACCTCATAGGAAAAAAACGGTACCCTTAAAGGATCACTTTGTTGTCCGTCCGTCTGTATGTCAAGACCCTTTTTCTCAGAAACGCGGTATGCAAGCTGGAACTTATTTTTTAATTTCGCGGCGTCTTAATTTTGGGCGATAGCTTATATAGCTAGATAGTATGACATAAAATAATTATAATAATTATTTTATGTCAAACTAATAACGACTTCACAATAATCCCGCATAATGTGATATGTACGAGAGATGATACGAGTTAGCTTAGTAAATTTCAAATCACCACATTTCGATGGCAATCACATGATAACTACTTATGTAATAAAATATCGGAATAAACACTTTATCAATTAAATATGTAATGTAAACACTGATATAGGTTTTCGTTCTGAATATCGGAGATTAAAATCTTTAGATGGATGTTTGTTGGAATTAACTTCTAGAACAGTCTTTCCCAAAGTGGGCGATAACGCCTCCTTGTAGGCGCTGCAGGTCTCAAGTTGCGTGTTATAGTAAACGTTACGTTTAGAATTCTTCGTTAATATACATATGTTGGTCACAATAATTAATTAATTTAAGGCAGTAGACAAAATAAATTTGGGAACCACTGCTCTAGAACGCCTACATGCATGGCGATTGTATAGATGTAAAATATTGCCTAGAACGCATACGCTGCTTTTAAAATTGTCAACGTTTTTTTTAATTCGCATAAAGAAGTCGCTGGCAAAAGCTACTTATATTTTATGAACGAATTTTAAATAAAATTAAACTTTAAAACTCACTTTATAAATTCTCGAAATTTAAAATAAATAAAATCGTTGTCACTCGGGCACCG